CTCACTTGGTAGTCCAGGCTGGCCTCGAACTCACAGAGATCCACCTGGCTCTGCCTCCCGAGTGCTGGGATTAAAGGCGTGCGCCACCACCGCCCGGCACACACGCAATTTAAGATAAAACACATCTTAAAACTTAACTAAAACCCAAGGGCTTCGGCTCGACCCTGAGACAGTCCGATTCAATGTGGTTGGTGGGAGGCAGGTTTTGCATTTCTAACAAGCTTCCAAGTGATGTCACTGGCCACACTTGAAGTGGCACAACTTTAGATAGCTTTGTTTTGCTTTTAGGTATGGACTTACTTACTAATCCATCTGTAAGTAAAAATTTTAAAAGGATTTTTTATTCCAGTGTGTCATCTTTGACATTTTTTAAACTATGAATGCGGGTTTGTCTGGGCTTGCAGATAACTGAACTGTGTTCTTTGGCAGTTAGAAAGACAGGCAGTCAAACGTCACAGAGGGGCTCAGTCTGTGCCAACCCTGCACAAGTGTAGAATAATGGAGCATTTGCTCTCTTTGGGAGTCTGAATGCAAATGGACGGAGGAAGAAGCGCAGCCGCAAGTTCTAATTTGATAGCTACCAAAGCTAACGTGGTAGAGAGTAACTGGAAGTCACTGCCGAGTGAAAAGGTATAACAGATGGTCCCAACCCCAAAGTAGCTTAACTTAAGGATTTTGTAGATTGTGAGAATACAAAAGTGGTACCCATGAGGCAGGCTGTGTGGTGCCCTTCCCTGATGCTGACAAGAGCCCTCTCTGCTCGGTCACCAGAGCATTTTGAGTATTGGGGTTTGTGGTCTCACAGTGTACCAGTCAACGAAACAACCCTCCGTCGCTGTACGGGAGGAATTTAACACTTGGTTGTAAAATAGGCTCTGCAGCTGGTGGTTTTACTCAAGGGAAGCGTTAGGTAAGTATTTGCACTTGTCTAAGGCAGGCTAGGCTAAGCGGGGATGCAGGTTAGGTGTATCAGCTGCAGTTTCAGCTTACGGTGGGCGTCTTGCGATGCTGCCCCACAGTAAGTCAAGGGGCCCTTGACTGCGGAGTACTGTGGACATGCCAAGTAAGCACTTGGTCAAGTCTTGAGCAATACCTCCAGCCTTGTACAGAATTTTAAGTTTGTGTTGCAGGGGAGATCTCTGAACAGATGAGTTTTGATCTGAGTCATAGTAAAACAGCACCCACACCCCCACACACACACACTGCAGCTAAGTTTTTTTTTTGTTTTTGTTTTTGTTTTGTTTTTGTTTTTTTGAGACAGGGTTTCTCTGTGTAGCTTTGTGCCTTTTCCTGGAACTCACTTGGTAGCCCAGGCTGGCCTCGAACTCACAGAGATCCGCCTGGCTCTGCCTCCCGAGTGCTGGGATTAAAGGCGTGCGCCACCACCGCCCGGCACAGCTAAGTTTATAACACACTTATTTTCATGTTTGGAGGTTTCCCTGACATTATCAGTTCCACAGAGTTGACCATCACTGGTGCTACATCTCAGCCAGTTCTTGGTTATGTATCTATGGGTGGGTGGATGGTGGATGTGTGTCCACGGATGTGTATGTGTCAGAGCATGCATGTGGCGATCAGTTGATAACTTTTGGGAGTTTGTTCTTTCCTGCCACCACGTGGGTTCTGGGGACCAAACTCACTTTGTCAGGCTTGGCATCAAGTGCCCTTACCTGCTGAGCCAGTTCCCAACTCTTGGTTTTAATGTGTATGTCAATAGATGCTTAAAAAAAAAAAAATGTAACTTTTCCTACAGCAAACTCCAGGTAACATAATATTGACTCTTAAGTAGAGCCTTTATAAAAAATGATTCCCTTTTTAATATCTTGCCTGTGTCTTCCCGGGACTAGCTTAGTTTTCAGTATACTTAGAACCTCTGCACTTCGGGTCTTGGTCTGGTAAGAACACACAGCTGGCACTGGAAATACAGAGCTGCCCTGAACAGAGGATGAATTCTGCCCAGTCAAGGGACTTGCTACATTCTCCATTCCTTGTACATAATAGGAATTTCTCTGGGGAGTTTTGGATGATGTGGAGCCTGCCTTTAGACACCATTTATGGAAGCTCTCAGCCAATTCAGAGCCCAGCTCTGCTCTCTAGGATGTTGTCAAGGCACGAAGACAATGAAGCCTAGTTATAGGTGGCATAGTCTTCAAACCAAAGACCATTTGTCCCCCCACTGAGTCTGTATGCAGACAGCTGGGCATGGGCCATCGCAGCGTTACGGAGAGCAGCCCTTGGTTGTTGCAGGCCAATGAGCTCATGGGGGTTTTCCCATCTTGCCCCACCCCCTGATTTTTTTTTCCCCTTGTATTTGATGGTACAATGTACCACTGTTTTTACTGAATCACTTTTTCTGTCCCAAGTCTCTACCTATTATTCATTGTGTGGTCTTGAATAAGCCATTAAGGGGTTTCTCAAGCTGCCAGTTCACTGTATTTACCAGAGTTGTTCAAAAGGGCCATAAAACACTGGCTGGAACTAGGGCCAGAAACTCTGCAGGGGCTGCCACTGTCGTCTTCTGCCGCAAGCAAGCCCAAGGACCCAGGCTGCTGTTGTCACCGCTCCATTGACTCTAAGGCCACCGTACATCTCTGCTGAGAACGGGGTCCTACATGTTTGAGTGCTCGGTATCAGCCTCTGCCCATCCCACATGGGCTGCTTCTTTTGTTTTTCGAGACAGGGTTTCTCTGTGTAGCCCTGGCTGTCCTGGAACTTACTCTATAGGGCTGGCCTTGAACTCATAGAAATCCACCTGCCTCTGCCTCCCAGGTGCTGGGATAAAGGCGTGCGCCACCACCGCCCCGCCTATGTGGGCTTCTTAAGATACATTCCCTAGTGCTCAGGTCAACAACATCCCAGCCCACTTGTCCCAAAAATGTTAGGTCCTAATTGTTCTAGATATTCATATCCATTCTGAATCCAGAAGCACCGCCGTTGTACTTAAGAAGTCTATGTATTTCCTCTTTAACCTTGACAAAGGTCCTGTCTATACCTTCTTTTTATATAGTATGGCTTTCTCAAGACAGATGAGGACAAGTGAAGAGATCTATGGTCCTTCATCCTTCAGAGAAAGAGAGAGCAGTTGCTAGGATTATTTTCGTCAAGGAGCTCCAACTGTACTGGGCAGTGGACATATGTCTAGTTTGGTTTTGTTCCTCTTTTTTGAGTAGATAGAAGAAGATTTAACAAGATTAATCTTTATAGGACATCGCATTCCAACTCGGTTTTATTGCACGGCATCTGTGTACAGCAGCTGCCACCACCCGTCCATTTAGAATTCACACGGCAGTTCCCAGTCCCTGACCATGTCAGGTGCCACCAAGTGGGACTTATAGTTCCAAGATGTTCTGAGTCAGCTTTCTCCAAAACTCCATCTTGTGCTTCACAGGCTATGTGGATAATGGTCATTATCAGTGTGCACCTGCTTCTCCAGCTCAGGAGATGCAGGATAGGGGGAATGTGTTCCTGGCAGGCAGAATGGGATAATGGAGAGCTGGAAAGCAACACAGATTATGGACTCTTAGGAGAGCTGAAGGAATTCTGTGAGCTGGAGGGCATAGATCAGAAAGAGGAGATAAGCGAAGATGGGGAAATGGACTAGATCCCGACTAGAAAGGGGCTTATGTTACATATTAAGAATTTGGACTTCTTCTAAAAGTTGTAAGTAGGTAAGGGACCTGGCCCTCGTTTACTTTCAAGGGGTCACAGTGGCTGCAGCCTAAGCAGCATGGATAGGAGAAGA